TAGTAATCATTTTAATAAGTACCCTTTTTCTTGAGTTATCGATCAAACAAGATCCTTTTCCAATTCCCTTAACGCATTCCGGACCTTTTTTTGGTGGCTGAAATCATTTATAATGTCAATGAGATCGAAGAAATTATTTGATATTCTGACCAATGGTTTAAGATCGCACTGGAGACAAATATTGCATGAAGATAGGCTATAACTTTTTTTTTATTTATTTTTATAATCAAGAAACAATACAGAAATCTACGAGTATATATATAAAAGAAAGTCGTGTTAGTTACACTATTTATAACTCAAGAACGGCTTTACTGATATGCCTGAAAATTGGCGAGGAGGTAGCTTAGAGCCAGGAGACGGACATAGGATACTATTTATTCATTTTTTTTCGAATTTATGCCTTGAAGAGCTGCTTATTTAACTTACTAATATTAATATTTTTAATGTAATAATATATTTTGTATAATTTGTTATTTTTTATATGAAATGTAATATATTAAGAGTGAGGTTAATAAATGAATAATTTTGAAGATATCTCTAGAACGGCAGAACGGATCTCGATTAAATTTGGCATACGTATAGAACATAGTCTGATAGAACACATAGGCGGAGTCGCGGGCATATAGCTATATACAATAAAAGTCTGACTATAGACACTTTTGTACTACACTATGAAATGAAACAGTAGGTAAGTTTTTTTTTGTTTACAGCAAATTAGTGAGCTCGCTCATACCATATACAGGGTGTACAAACGCGATATAAATTTATTAGACTTAGGATTTTATATAATGATTTTTAAGTATGTTTTTGTTGCTTATATTATTTTTTATATCAGTAGGTAACTTATTTATCAACGTTGGAATTATATATTCTGACGTACGCTTACCGTAGACGTTGATAACTAAAACTTACTTCTATTGAATAAACCGTCGCGCAAATAACACCAAAAAGTAACAATAAAGTATACATGGTGTTTAAATCCGAAAAAAAAAATGTTTTTTTCTCTGATGGCAACAAAACACTAGCTAAATTTTCTGTATAACGAATATATTCAAGTAGTAAACGTATTAATACAAGTTCTAGATGGTAAGGAAATGAAAAAAAAATAAAAAAAAACACTTATAAAGTAACGAACAAATGCATCACGAATTATCATGTTTTTAATTAAAGATTTCTTGTGTTTTTATTTTTTCTATGTTTGTATAAATGTAATTAGAAATTGACATAAAATACTCAATTGAAATTAATTGATCTTCATACAGTTCAATAGCAGAAAAATCATTCGCTATTTTTAAGCAAATACTTTACTAAATTATTCAAACTTTCGTGAGACATTATACTAAACTGATATAAACATGGCTAAACACTCACGTATATACGTCCGGTGGCGGCACCGACTAGTTTCGATCACATCGGGGGCCCTTAATCAGGATGAGTGTGATGTGTATTATATCGCGGACGCGGCCCGTCGCTCACTCACGACTTTTTGACGGTTGACTTCACACATGTCCTTGAATTTCTTCTCAGATATGTGTAGGTTGCATTACGATGTTTCCTTCACCGTAAGAACGTCGGATAAATGTACATATGTAAATCGAAAAGCACATCGCTCACTCACGACGGGCCGCGTCCGCGAAATAATACCAGTACCACTCATCCTGATTAAGGGCCCCCGATGGGCTCGAAACTAGTCGTTGCCGCCACCGGACAAATATACGTCAGTGTTTAGCCGTGTTTATATATCAAATACTTTACTATTTTTATTTTATTGACCAATTATAAAATACACCGAAATACACATAAACATAATATAAAAACTTATAATATATATTAATAATAATACTCTTTTATAGGGGTGTACATTTCTTGATTTTCTGATTTCTTTAGTATGTCTTTTATAATTTTAATTATTTGCGTGTAATTCTAATCAACGATTAACATTTACTAATTAAAATGACCGATTAAAGATTTTTTTATTTCGTTTTTTTTATACAGTTTTGTTTTTAAAAAGACGTTGTGTCATGCGTCTTATAATAATTATTATTTTATTATGCTGCTTAACTTTTACTTTTCAGGTAAGAAAAAATATTTAATATGATAAAATAGTTCTGATAAGAATTGATATACAGCGCGTCCCAAAATTCTACGACAAAACTGTAATGCTGTATTCAGGAGTTATCGATCTGGCTATAACTACATGGGGAAAAAATAGTCAGTGTCTGATCATATGGTGGAGGGTATCAAATTATAAGAAAAAAAAGTTTATGTAACTTTTAAACAAAAACAGTTGGATTTTTTTTAGTACTTTTCCCCGTGTAGTTATCGATATGGCTATACATCATTACCGTTTTATCGTTGAATTTTGGGACACGCCGTATAACCTAAACGAGAGTTGATTTTCCGAATGTCATTTGGTATGTAAATGGTAACATTAAAGGGGTTTACCACCACGAAAGAGCCTCCTTAGGATTTTTTAAGCATCACTTCTGTGCTCCGTAGTACGTAACTTTTAGGTCTAATGTCTTTGCCCCGAGAGGGAGCTTGCCTCGGCAGCTGACGCAGACGGGGCCGCGGACGAGAGCGAAAGCGTGCCCGTGGCCCCGTCCCGATGCGTTGGAGGAACAGAGGGGTTTAGTGGGTATGCCTCCGCTATGGAGGAGAATCCCACATAACTACCGCGTCCCCAGGGGCGCGGAGTATGCATAAAGCATTCCGCTCTGGAAAAAAGGTCTAGTTTAGTCTAATGTCTAGCCTATAAGTCTATAATAATAAATCAATGTCTATGTTCTCTAAAAATTCTATCACAATTTCGAAATATAGAGAAAAATAGAAGAAAGAAAACCCGTATCCCAGACACCTGACCTTACATATTAGGTGACCTAGATTGCGGCATGGCTTTACCCATTAAAAAAATATCAGAAAAAAAAACAACGCACACTTTATGTTTATAATATATTTTTTACTTATTTAAAATGCTCTTTTTATTCCAGGAGAGTGAAGAGGTAAAAAAATAACTTTTATAAACACAAAATGTGTTTTATTGGTTTTTTTTTTTTAATTCATTACTAAACGAATCTTTATCTTACTAATATACTTACAAATCAATTTAAAAATATTAATTAATTTTTATTTTTAACTTTAGTATCAAGATAATTCAGTAAGTACTTTTTATCAAACACTAGCCGTTGCCGACGACTCCGTTCGCGCGGAATATTAAAAGAAATACTTTATTAGTAGTCTATCCTTCCAGACTTTACTCGACATCTATACTAAATTTCATTGAGATCCCATACAGCTCTGGAGATACTTTCTAACAAACATCTAAACATTCGCATTTATAATATTAGTAAGTGTATGAGTCGTCTTCGTTCGCGGTGTTGCAAGTATAGAATTTTTTTTTACACCGTGCAAACAACAAAAACTCTAGACCTACAGACAAGTACTAAAGTTATATTTTTTAATTTATTAAAAAAAAAAACATGTCCCCAGTCTCAGGACTTGGGCTACCTAGTTTTAGACATTATTAATAAGAATCATTTGGCGCGAATAACGCGCTTACGTTATGAAGTCAAATGTCAGAATGATTAGTGAGGGGACATAAACGTCGACATTTTAGTTAGGCTAGTGTTGCGCCATTACACCGGCACAGTGTCGGATTTTCTTCCTAACAGCAGTGAGGCTTTACTTAGACTCGAAGGCCAAAAAATCGCACCTTAACAAAATATCTATACAATAGAATCTAACAAAATACAAACAAAAATATGACAGATTTTGTTTTTTTAAGAACGTTTAGGCAAAGAATAATATCTTTCAGATCCAAGAAGGCGATGGTATGTGCATCAAAATCCACGGCTTAGAAGTTTGTTTTCCCACCGAAGACCAGAGGCCAAAAAAAAGAGTATGTTTTATTTTAATTAGTTTAATGGCACCTCACTATACGTCCCCAACAAGGGGCTCGGAGCCTACCCTAAGTTCAGAGTGATCAGGCTATAGTCAACCACGCTGGCCAAGTGCGAGTTGGTTGACTTCACACATATCTTTGAATTTCTTCTCAGATATGTGCAGGATGCATCACGATGTTTCCTTCACCGTAAGAACGTCGGATAAATGTACATATGTAAATCGAAAAGCACATTGGTTCCATGGCGGGATTCGAACCCAGGACCTGCAGATTGCAAGTCAAGTGCTTGTTGACCCCTGAGCCACCGACGCTCTATCGGTATATCGGGTATCGGTTATAGACCGACAAAGTTATCGTAATTGTGTAAGCACACTAGCGCCCTCCTGACAATGGAAAAAGTTTCATTGGCATACTGTAGCCTTGGCATATATTTTTTATATATGTACTTTTGTACTATACCTATGTAAGTGTTACTTTCCTGACAGAAATAATCACGATAGCAACATAAAAACAGAAAAGAAAAATAAATATAGTTGGATGGATGTTGTTAGGAAATATATCCAGAAAGGCTGCATGGATCTCGCTTCAATTTGGCACAGATATAGAACATAGTCTGGAAGAACACATAGACTACTAATTAAGTTTTAATTCCGCGCGAACGTCGACAGCTAATTAAAGTATTATAAATGTCGTTATTTATATTAAAAGCGTAAAAAACGAAGATTCTCTCATCATTTAGCTATAAAACATCGTTAAATTATAAAAGAAATAAATTAACTTACACGTGAAGCTGCCCGTTCAATCTGAAACATAACAATTTTTTTTATATCATGAGGTGGCAAACGAGCGAGCGGCCACTTGAAATCGCTATAATAGCGAAGTGACCGTTGCCTATAGACATACGCAATTGCATAAGCGTTGAATAACTATAATCGACGGAGGGGAGGATGCACGGAATTTTTTTTTCCCTTTCCACGCATCCTCTCATCCGGAAAGTCCACTTACACTTCCCATCCTTTCCTTATAAGAAAAAGGGTGGGAAGGGAAAGGGAACTAAATTAAGCCTCCGGGACGCACACATCAGACGAAACGCGGAATTGCTTCCACTTCACGCCTATCTTCTGTGTGGTCGTGGTATTTCACCGGGCGAGCCGGGACAATTCGTGCGAAGATGTTAAAGCGGGCTCTACCACTGTTAAATTAAATTTATAATTATTATTTTGTGTTTACAGCCTGGTAACAGAGTAAGTATAAAGTTCAAGTATATTTGAAACTGGAAATATAGAGATAAATAATATATTATGATAGCTCTCGCCTGCCACTTCCCTCGTTTCGAATAAATCAATGAGATATAACACAAAACCATACAAACTTGCACAACTATAATATTCAGAAATGCGAATGTATGAATGGATGGATATACTTAATCACGAGACAATTATTATTTTGTGTGTATTCACAGCTTGGACGAAAAGTAAGTGTAAAATTTAAGAATATTTGTAATTGAAAAGATAGTGATAAAAATATGTTTTTTTGGGGAAAAAAAAGGCGTATGTGAGATTCTTACTCACTAAAACCCCTTCGGTGGCCAACCTCATGTGCGTCTGCGAGGGTCCCGGGATCTCCAAAGGAACGCACTGGAATCCTTTGCAGTGGGCTTCTGTACGATTCCAGGAAAATACTTCCTCGTGCCTTCGGCAATATCACGCAATGTTGCCGTCTTCTCAGGATTGCTTTTACTGGCGATCAGGGCTCCCTCTCTCACCGCCACAACTCCCTTTTTTAACGCGACTGCGTGAAAAGGGAAGAAAACAAAAGTAGCCTTATTGACAATCTACAAAACGGTCAGCGCGATTGAAAGATAAAAATAGCTAGCGCTCGCCTGTCACTTTCCTCGTGTTTAAGTAATCGATGAAATAACATAAATCCATAAAAAACTTACACAATTATATTAAGAAATGCGAAAATTTTGATGGATGGATACATATTATACCTGAGATTGATTATTTCATGGATTTTTACAGCCAGTAATAAAAGTAAGTGTCAAGTTTAAGTAATATTTGACGGGTGCGGTGGGTTGCCGTTTACAGAAGGGTTCATTGTAAATTATTTTCAAATAACAACGTAGATAACGCGCGATAGTTCAACGTCCGTTCTGGTCGACAGCCACAAGAGAAGTGTGGGGTCCCTCCGCTGGTAAGGTCGAACCATCGAACGCCGACAGACGGCGCTGGCGTCCCGTTCCGTAGTGAATTCGATTGCCGCAGTGGCGCTAGTGTTACGTTAAGACATTTAAAAATGTTATAGGTACAAATACAAAATATTTGACATTATGAATATGTACGTTATTCCAGACTTTTGAAATCTCACAATGTCTTTTGCAAATGCTCAAAAAACATTCATTTCAATAAAGTTGTGATCTTATATTTTTGTATTATAGGTTTAAATTTAAAATTATACTTAAAAAAAATACATTTTTTTATGCCTATAAAGGTTTTTTTTATAATTTGTATTTTCAAATATAATAATTTGTAAGTAAATTACAAGAGATTTTTACACTTGATTATTTTTTTTTAAACAAATGCAAGGCAAATAATTTTTTTTGGCTTTATTCTACATATATTTATATTTGAAGCGTCAATAGCCTAATGGATAAGGGTACGGATTTCCGATCACGAGGTCGGGGGTTCGAATCCCGCCATTCGACTATTCTCGTAAGCCATATCCTAGCACAAGCCTAGAGCTTAGTTGGAATGGTAAAAGAAATATTAGTAAATTTACAAAAAAAGTCTGCTAATATTAAAAAAAAAAGATATGGGCACAATTATTTTGATGTAGATTTAATTTTTAATCCGCTCATTAAAAATCATCCTGTATCACAAATAGAGGATGATTTTTGACGATGATTGACGTTAAGATTTATAATTTTATCTATGTGTACTAACATTATAAAGCGGAAGAGTTTGTTTAAACGCGCTGATCTCAGGAACTACTGGTCCGATTTGAAAAATTCTTTTTTTGTTGGATAGTCCATTTATAGAGGAAGGCTTTAGGCTATATAACATTACGCTGTTACCAATAGTTTTTTTAATACACAGCTAGCTACTAATTTTATATTTTCTTTACAGCCTAAATCTAAAGTAGGTATCAAATTTCAGATTTATTTCAAACTGAAATTGACGAGATATATACTTTGTTCGAGCGAATTAAAAAAATCTCTAAGTCTTGGACTGAATTATAATCTATATCCGTTTTAAATTTCATCCAGACTTCTAAATTTACGTAGTAACAAAGATCAATACAATTTTTCGCTTTTACATTCGTAAGAGTACTCATAACTTTCAATCATTTTACGCTAAAATAAAAAAAATAACAAAAAATAAATCATCCTGTATAATACAAATGGTGTATTACTTCTTATAATGTTATTAATATTGTAGCATAATTATTTTAATTATAAATTACAGTCCGGCTTGTCTGGACCGAAAAAGGAGAAAATGAGGAAACGAGTAAGTATTTGAGGGCTTTCAAGATTTTAAATATTATAAGTGGAAGTGGACTTTCCGGATGAGAGGATGCATGGAAAGGGAAGATATTTTCTTGCTGTGCATCCTATCCTCCGTCGATCAAAGGTAGGCAACGCATATGCAATTGCGTAAGTCTATTGCAACGGTCACTTCGCTATTTTAGAGATTTCAGGTGACCGCTCGCTCGTTTGCCACCTTATCATATAAAAATGTATATATCCATACATATGTATGTATGGAGTCCATAATGTGGATATGATTTTAATTTTACTTTTACGTTTGTATAGAGACTATTAGTAATGAAATCAAATTGACATGTAATTTTCTTTACATAGAAAAGGGTAAGTTTCTTTACCTAAATACTAGTAAAGAGTAAAGATTTGACTGTCTCTTTGTTTGTTTGTTTGCATTGAATAGACTTTTAAACTACTGACCCTATTTGTAAAATTCTTTTACTGTTGGGAAGCTACAGTATCTCAGGTTACAGACTATGTTTATTGCCTACGGGTTTTTTGTTAATTTCGGTTAAAGCCTATATTAATTAAACATAGGAAAGTCAGATTCCATAAACATATTCATCATCAGCTCACTATACGTCCCACTGACCAGCTCGGAGCCTACCCTAAGTTAAGGGTGATTAGGCCATAGTCAACCATGCTGGCCAAGTGCGGGTTGGTTGACTTCACACATATCTTTGAATTACTTCTCAGATATGTGCAGCATCACGATGTTTTCCTTCATCGTAAGAACGTCGGATAAATGTACATATGTAAATCGAAAAGCACATTGGTATATGGCGGGAACCCTGGACCTGTAGATTGCAAGTCAAGTGCTTAACCCCTAAGCCACCGACGCTCTACATATATTATGTATATGCTGTTTATTTACTCTCATAGTTTTACGATACATTATTTTTGTTATATAGAAGAAGGTAAATATCATTTTCTTTTTCATATATTTACACAATATTTACTTAACGTAGCGATAAAAGTGTTTGATATTTTATATATTTTTTTTCCATATCGTTTTTTCAGACTGAAGCCGTAAGTATTTTCGTTTTAAAATTATTCTTATTCCTATTGCCCCCTTTAAATTAATATAATAAATAATTTTAACACAGTATATAAAATAATTCAGAAAAAAAAAATTAACGATTTTTTTTTTGCTTTAAACAGAACTTTGATTACGACGTACGTATAATTTTATATCATTAACTATATAAAAAAGCTAACTGTTATCTGTTTCAAATTGTATTCAAATACATATGGTTAAAACATCTATCCATCTATGCTCATTTATAATATTACTAACGTATTCATTTATAGTAAATTTCATATCAAAAAAATATATATACAAAACATATTATATTAAAAATAGAACACCACCGGCTGCGGAATCCCATGATTCAAACAACCAGTGGTGAGGTCTGCAGACAGGAACCTTCTCACGATGCGTGCTGTTTCTAGGATAACTGCCTTTTGTATCGGGTCCTTAATCCAACTGTTTAGCGAGAGCTTCTTGATATGTTGGTCGAAGCTCTTCGCTATCAGTCCATTACGATACGACTATCGGTATAATGGTGACCTTGTGAGCCAAACCTAGGTATATTAACATTAGTAAGATTGTTAAGAGATATAATAAAAATATTATTTGATAGGTTGTCGTATAAAGTAAGTAATTATCCAACTTATTAATAATCATCCTGTATAAATCCCCCAAAAGGGCTCGAGACTATCACAAGGAAGTGATTAAGCCCAAGTTTACAACCCTAGCCCAACGCTTGTCTTCACACATTTGAATTTCTTTGCAGATATATGCAGGTTGCATCACGATGTTTTCCTTTACAGAATTTCATTACTTTATCTATGCTAAATCTAGCTGTCGCCTGCAACTCCGTCCGCGAGGGATTAACTTAGTAGCCTATGTGTTCTCCCAGACTATGTTCTACATCTATGCCAAATTTCACTGAGATCCATGCAGCTGTTCTAGAGTTACCTTTTAACGTCCATCCATCCATCTAAACTTTCACATTTATAATAACAAAAAGATTTCTTTGTATTGAATAGACTCCAAAACTACTGAACTAATTTGAAAAATTCTTATATATATATTTTTTTATATCATAAGGTAGCAAACGAGCGAGCGGCAACCTGAAATCGCTGAAGTAGCGAAGTGACCGTTGCTCAGAGACTTACGCAATTGCATATGCGTTGCCTACCTTTAATCGACGGAGGAGGGGATGCACAGAAAGAGAATATTTTCCCTTTCCATGCATCCTCTCATCCGGAAAGTCCACTTCCACTTCCCATCCTTTCTTTATAAGAAAAGGGTGGGAAGGGAAAGAGGACTAAATTAGGCCTCCGGGACGCACACTCATCAGACGAAACGCGGAATTGCTTCCACTTCACGCCTGTTTTCTGTGTGGTGGTGGTATTTCACCGGGCGAATCTAGCCAACTCGTGCGAAGATGTTAAAGCGGGTTCTACCACTCTTAAGTTGAAGTATAATGTTGAAGCTAAACTATCCCCTGGTATAACTAGAAAAAGTAGTTTTCTAATTCCACGTAGACAAAGTTAAGCAAATGTTTATAACAATTCAATATTAAAGGTAATTAGATCTTAAGTTTTTTTTTAAATAATTTATCAAGATATTCGTATTAATAAATATTTATTTCAAGGTAAATAAATTGCTGTGGAAAATCGACGCAATAAATATTTTCAAATTATCAACGCCTTTTAATATTACCATTGTGTTTGAATTAATATTGTTATGTTAGTATTAATGGAGCGTTCTGTTACACAATACGGTAAGTAAACGATTTAATAACTTACAATTTGAAACATCCAAAATAAATTAAATATTTATTCATTTTTCAACATGGCAACACAGACTTATTTTAATAAATATAATAAGATCATAACCTAACTTCAAAGTTTATTATTTATTCAACAAAAATAAAAAATAAACTCGTTTAATAGTTTAAGTTAGTAGTTAAGCACTTGAAGTGTAATCTGCAGGTCCTAGGTTCGAATCCTATCAGGCGAGGTCGCGGACGAAAGCTCAAGCGTGCCTGTGGCTTCGCCATGATACGTAGGAGGAACAGAGGGGTTTAGGGGGTATGCTTCCCATCCGGAAGAGAATCCCACATAACTACCGCGTCCCCCCACCCCTGGGGGCGCGGAGTATTCATAAAGCATTCCCCCCTGAAAAATGAAAGGGTTCAAATCCAGTCATGTACCAATGTGTAAATTTACATATGTACGTATCCCACGTTACGGTGAAGGAAAATATCGTGATGCTGCACATATCTGAGAAGAAATTCTAATATATGTGTGAAGTTACTGCACTGGGTCAACATTGACTATGGCCTAGTCACCTTTGACTTAGAGTCTGCTTCTCAGTGGGAACGTATAGTGAGCTGGTGATGATGGCTGCTGCACGAATATCCGGCTCGCTAGGTGCAACACTAAACAGAAAATTGTTTCAAATGTAAAATATAACTGCATTTCGTCTGATTGTATATTGAAGGCTCAATACTAATTATTTTCTTTGCCACTTTTATTTTACAAGGAAAGAATACTTAAAAGTGGATTTGACAGGGAAGGGATAGATATGACAGGACATATCCTTGACATTACATTATTTCTTATTTTAGTAAATGAAAATGCAGCATCTGCAATTCTTTGGTTCATCATCAGCTCACTATACGTCCCCATCGAGGGGCTCGGAGCCTACACTAAGTTAAGGGTGATTAGGCCATAGTCAACCACGCTGGCCAAGTGCGGGTTGGTTGACTTCACACATATCTTTGAATTTCTTCTCAGATATGTGCAGGTTGCATCACGATGTTTTCCTTCACCGTAAGAACGTCGGATAAATGTACATATGTAAATCGGAAATCGAAAAACACATTGGTACATGGCGGGATTCGAACCCAGGACCTGCAGACTTGACTTGACCGCTGAGCCACCGACGTCTTAACTTCACTTAGAAACAAAAAAAAATTGCGTTGGTTTATTTTTAGCTCTGAAATTAATCTGTGTTTTTATTAGTGTAAATTAAATAGCTATCGCTTATTACATTATGACATTGTTTTGTTGAAATAAGAGCGCTTGTTAGTAATTTGTTGAATTCAATATCTTTTTCACTTTTACAGTTTATATAAATGAAACACAATTTAAATCTGTTACTCTTTAAATCTGTCTCATTTAAAAAGGTTATTGATTAAAAAAAACTTATACTAAAAAAAATATTCTATATTCTTAAAAATAAAAGTGTAGTTTTAGTTTTTTTTTTTTGATATTTTTTAAACTTAACTCATCTCTAGTAATTCCTTTTGCAGGTAAAAGAGTTTGAAAATGTCAACACCAATGCATTTTATATTTTTGATGCTATTTTTTGGTTTAATCGCTATGTTTGACGTAAGTTATATGAAATTTAAATGTATTTTAACTCCTAAACTAATTTTAAAATAGGAAAGATTTTTGTATGTAGCGAAAAAAACTCAAAAACTACTGGATCGATTTCAATTTTTTTTTTTACAATTTTGCTACATTACTAAGTACAAAATTTCTTGTTATCTTACTAATATTATAAATGCGAATGTTTAGAAGGATGGATGTTTGATAGAAGGTATCTCCAGACCGGCAGCATAGACTGGAAGAACACATAGGCTACTAAATAAGGTCTTTTGTCAATTCCACGAAGACGGAGTCGCGGGCGACAGCTAGTAGGCTATATTTATTAGTATTTTCTTTTTAATTCTGTAAACAAAGTCGCAAGAAAAATTTAGTATATTCCAATTTAAAATATATATCATATTCTTATTTCAAATATAACAGACGTCCCAAGTTTCTCAGTCATGGCTGAAAAATATGAAAAAACATCGAAACACCAACAGAGGTTTGGGGACAAGGATTTTATGGCCAAAACGAAGCGTAGTAAGTAACTTCTTACATCTAATATATGCGGTACCAGAAACTAAACACTAGTTATTCCGTTTCCACTATTTCCCAGAAATAAAAGTTTTATATTTTAAAGTGGCACAAGCAAGCAGCCATCACCGAACACCAAAGCGATCCCAGCCTACAGACATCCACAATTGCAGGGTTCTTCAAGAACCGAGCGTATCACCATCTCAAAGGACGCCAATGCATCTGTTCCCCTGGTCTTATAGATGCCCATGGGCGTCAATGAACACCTCGGTGTTCCCGCTGCTCGTTTGCCCCTTACTGTTATAAAAACATACGTTGCCTGCTTTTAATCGACGGAAGAGACACACAGAAAAAGAATATCTTCCCTTCCTATCCCTAACGCCATCAAATCCACTTTGTCTTCCCAAGTGGAGATAAACGCGGTTATTTCGTTTCCCAACTTAACTAATAAATAAATTATATACGTCTTTTAAAAATAAATAAACTTTATGTACTAGTTTACATAATATTGGTAATCATTTTACATTTCAGGATCAAAGAGATTACATGGGACGTGGACATGACGATGGAGTTCCCGTGAGATTTACGGTAAGTACTCAGGCAACTAGACTTTTATTACAAAAAAAATAACGAAATAAGCAGACCAACATAGTTGCTTTACACAGAATTACATTAAATTAGTCTTAAGTAAAATGTAATTGATATTAACTGTCACACGGAGTCGTTAAGAGATACCCTTAGTTAAGATTTGATACGAGATTTACTTGTGTCAGTAAGTGTTAATAGCTTTTGCACCTTTTTGGTTTAATGGTTTGGAAAATAAAGATTTAGGGCGACGCATAGTTAAACTCATAGTTATTAAAGATATTAATTTCAGCCATGTAGTCGTAAGGTAATTTTGGATTTTTAAAACTATATAGATCAACGATGTTTTCGTAGATCTTAAAATCTTACTAATATTATAAATGCGAATGTTTAGATGGATGGATGTTTGTTTGAAGATGTCTCCAGTACGGCTATAACGGATCTCGATGAAATTTAGCTTACATATAGAATATTGTCTGGAAGTGGAACAAGGAGCGTCGGTGGCTCAGTGGTCAAGCACTTGACTTGGAATCTGCAGGTCCTGGGTTCGAATCCCGCCATGTACCAATGTGTTTTTCGATTTCCGATTTACATATGTACATTTATCCGACGTTCTTACGGCAAAGGAAAACATCGTGATGCAACCTGCACACATCTGAGAAGAAATTCAAAAGATATGTGTGAAGTCAACCAACCCGCACTTGGCCAGCGTGGTTGACTATGGCATAATCACCCTTGATTTAGGGTAGGCTCCGAGCCCCTCGATGGGGACGTATAGTGAGCTGATGATGATGATGATTGTCTGGAAAAACGTATAGGCTACTAATTATGTTTCTTTTTAATTCCTCGCGGGCGAAGGCGCGGGAGAACGTTAGTATTCTATACATGATACCTATGTATTTCAATAATTGAGTCAAAAGTTTTATATCTGTCTTACCTCAATAAGATGAAAGTATGATTGTTTGTGTAAATTTCAGTTATTAGGAATTGTTTTTTGTATTTCAGACCCCAGGGTCAGATGGATGGTATTGTAAGTATAATTTTCATTAGCTATCACGTATTTCTTGCTATTTGGGATAATCAGATACATATGTATGAGTTACAATCAACTTTTGTTTAATATTTAAACGTAAACAAATATATCTTACTAATAGAAATGCGAATGTTTAGATGGATGTTTGTTTGATGGTATCTCCAGACCGAGTAAACGGATCTTGATGAAATTTGGCCTACAAGTGGAACATAGCCTAGAACACATAAAGTACTAATTAAGTTTCTTTTTAATTCTGCGCGGGCGGCGTCGCGGGCGACAGCTAGTATATTATAAATGCGAATATTTAAAGCCATAGATGAATATCTGTCTGAAGATATCTCCAGAACGGTTCGAGGGATTTTGATGAAATTTGGCATATATGTAGAACATAGTCTGGAAGGACACATAGGCTACTTGTTTTTTCTGCGCGAACGGAGCCGTGTACCACGGTTTATTTTTTATATATAATCTCGATATTTTTAAATTAATTATCTATAGCTATTAAACACGCTAAACACGATCAATTTTAAGTGAATAGTGTAACAGTATGAACAGTTAAAACTAAAGTCAGCAACACACCTCCAGTTTTAACTGATAAAACTGTATAGTTAAAAGTGAACGATTTGTTTTAACTTTTTAATACTTTAATTATTAGAGCTGGTGCGGCTTGTGAAGCGGCGGAAAAAGCTAAAGCAAGCAAATACAGGGGTCTTGGGGAATATGATTTTGCCCCATTCGGTGTCGATACCCTTGGTCCGTGGAGCCCTAGCGCTTTAAGGCTTTTTAAGGAAATGTCAAAAAAGTAAATCGACATCACAGGGGACCGAAGAGCTGGCAACCTCCGACAAAGAATTAGTATAGCTATTCAAAGGGGAACGTTGCCATCTTAGGGACCTTGTCTAAAAGAACTCCTATTAATATATAGTACTCACCTCGTACCTTTTTTTAATTTTTTATTTATTTTTGTAGATTATTTCTTAAACGTAGACAAAGGCATGCAAAGAGCAAAGGTGTGTATGTGTTTTGTTTTTTTTTTATAATACGACTAAATAAAGTTGATTCACTTTTGACATTTGTGTTAAGAGAATACAATGTTTTTTTTTAATGTGTCGACAGTTTAAAATCGGCCAGTATTTTTGAAAAAACTTTTTTCTTCCACAGAACTTGGAAGGTTACGAAGACTAGTATTAAATTAAAGAGTTAATAATTGTTAATGTAAAATAAATATATGAAGCACTTGTCTATTTGCTTTTTTTTTCCTCGTAGTTTCCAATTTATTGATTTTTTTTTATATCTTAAGGTGGCAAACGAGCGATCGGATACCTGGAATCGCTGAAAAAGCGAAGTGACCGTTTCCCATAGACATATGCAATTGCATATGCGTTGCCTACCTTTAATCGACAGATGAGAGGATGCACAGATAAAAAATATTTTCCCTTTCCATGCATCCTCTTATCCGGAAAGTCCACTTCCACTTCCCATCCTTCCCTTATAAGCAAAAGGGTGGGAAGGGAAAGAAGACTAAATTAGGCCTCCGGGACGCACACTCATCAGACTGTAGTTGGAATTGCTTCCACTTGACGCGTGTCTACTGTGTGGTCGTGGTATTTCACCGGGCGAGCCGGGACAAATCGTGCGAAGATGTTAAAGCGGGCTCTACCACTGTTTACCCCCTTCTGTTATAAAAACATTAAATATTTTGATTTTGTACGTGTTTGTTTGCATGCAAATTAATTAAGTTTCTTCACCCCGTTTAATTAAACATTGCCTAGTACCTAACTGTTACGGTAAAATTAATTAAAAAACTTGTTTCCTAATTTACCTTAAATCTAATTTATTTGTACATATTTTTGATTAATGTATTGAACATTTCCTTCTGTTATTTCAACTTCATCGGTTCACTAAAAAGTTTTCAACATGTCGACGAAAATGTATTTCATTATTTTACTTATGTTTGGATTCTTCTTGATATCGGTAATAAATTTATATTATAAAAATAAATTCCAACTACCTTCATGCGACAGACGGACGGACAACAAAGCGATATAAGGGTTCCGATTTTTTTCCAATTCAAACATGTTTTGCAGTATAACTCATTTTACTTGACTCATTCACGATAATGTTTTATTTTTTATTACGTAAATTTTTACCTATGCAAGTTACATTGTGACCCCTTGGAGCCTAAATTACTGAACCGATTTTGACGAATTAGGTGTCATTCGATTCGTCTTCCTCCCCTGAGTGTCATAGAGTACTGTCACTCGAGTAACCTTTTTTTTAATACCACATAATGTTATTTTTGACATATTTCAGAGCAATGGAGTTAAAATTTGTGTAGGTGGAGTTTGTATAAACTCTCAAGTAAGTTTTATTTAATTCTATCTAATTTTTAATGTTACAATTGTATATTTCGCCCGCGACTCTGTCCGGGGAATTAACTCTTTAACGGTAATAAGGAGTGGACAGTGGAAGAATGAAATTGATAATGGTGGATAAACGGGTATATAATAGAGGTAAAAACATATGTACATATTAGGTGCGCAACTAAGTTCTTGCTGTTTGTCAGTAGATGGCTCTAGCAGTAAGAGCTGGTCGATTTTGTCATATCCAAAACGTCATGAACCAAGCTTAGACATATGGTAAACAAACCGTTGCGACACATGAGTGATTTTGTTTTCGCATTATATACTTCTGGTAAAATAAAAATGTCGAATTTCGTGTCATATATATATTCGCGGACGCGGCCCGTCGCTCATAATACCAATGCCACTCATCCTAATGTAGGGCCCCCGATGGGCTCGAAATTAGTCGGTGCCGCCACCGGACGAATATACGTGAGTGTTTAGCCGTTTTTATATATCAGTTTAATTAATATTTTAATTCTATTTATTTTTTTAAGCGACAAGATAAAAGAGTTCGAGGATTAAAGCATTCTAAACCACCTCGCAATAGGGAAGAGGAACCGGTGAGGCAATCTAAAGGAATTGGGGAACGTGGCATAGTAAGTCAAACAAAAATATTAATAACTAGTTGTCGACCGGCGACTCCGTCCGCGCGTATTACGTAATAAGTAGCCTATGATTTTTTTCAGACTATGTTCTATATCTGTGCCATATTTCATCAAGGTCGATTGAGCTGTTCCGGAGATACATTCAAACATCGATTAAATTTGGTATAATTAATATATAGATGGAGTCACGGGTGAAAGCTAGTGGTATATATAAAATAAAAAGATTTAAACCCGGAAAATTAAACTATTAAGAAAGTCTAGCAAAATTTCGTTTGCATTTTAAATTTGGGTTTTTATTTTAGCTTATACGATTTCCAAAATCTAAAGGCGAGCAGGAGGAATATGCGGTGAGTCAAATATACGATATTCATTGAAATTATAAAGTTAACGTATTTCAAAGTTTATTTGAAGAAGTGAGTGACAGAGCTGTTGGTTTCTTAAACCGAAATCTTTGAATAAAACATATCTTCATCCTTGTCATTATCTTTGATAAAACAGAGATAACAATATGTTTTATTTCAGATTGTTAAATCCCGTCGGACGCACCTCACACACGGCCCGCAACGGATTGCTTCTTGATGCCGTCTTTCGATGTGGGCTGCGAGAATAATGGACGCAGCGTTACGTCAAATACAAAGCAAACGATAATCCGTTGCGGGCCGTGCGTACGTCCGGCGCGGGATATTGAATCTTAAGAAAATATAAAATTTTGAAATAATACTGATTGAAAAATTTAAATTAACCTAAACTCTTATTAACAATCATACATGTGATGTTTTTATTAAAAACATATTATTTATTTTCAACAGGACGTGGGTGACGAAAAATAAGGTTATATTGTCGTAATAAAGACAGAACGCCTCTGATTATTGTGTTTTATTTACTTTTAATATTCTGTTCATTTAATTAATTTGTATTTTCTACAATAATCCATGTATTCGATCTAAAGAATTCTATAAATTACGCTTTAGAAATCAAGCAAACGGGGGATAGAATAGTCAATAATAACTATGAAAATTAATCTTGCCTCTTGACACTAGATGGCGTAGCCTGGCGAGTTGATATGTTATTCTCGTCGTTAAAGATGTTGTTGACCAATTTATATCGATAGGATTATATCTTATATTTACACTTTACATAAAGCACTGTTTAAAAACGAAAAATATTACATGCACACAATTATACAGCACATAAAAGTATTTTTTTAATTATATAAACATAAATAATCACGATTAAAAATTATTATAATGTGGTTATTATAGCGTTTTAAAAAACCGCCGCGTAACTGACTAGAAATAACCGAATTAATGAATGATAGGTAAAAGTTGTCATTCGTTCCCTCTATCAGTTTCACGGAAAGTTTAGCAAAGTACCTACTTTTAAAGTTTGTATAATTCTATTATAATTTGAATATTTGTAATATTTTTAACCTGTAATTATTTTTTTTCTCGTCGTGTTAATGACAAATTTTATTATTCATAATTTATGAAGACTTGAGAACTAAGGATGAAAAGGATACGAATTATTGCATTCAGCGTACTGACCTCTATAAGTTGACTGGCTAAAGACGTAGCATTATGTGCCTATTTCTATCTATAAGTTAAAATATTTAAGGTTAAGTAGGCAAAATGTAAATTCATTAGTTTTTTTTTAATTTTACTGTTTGCCCTCTAATTATTTTTTTTTTGTTAATTACTTATTAATGAATACATAAGTCTATTAATTAAAAAACTTGTTTCTTACGTCTTAATTAAAATATCGCTCTTTTTAATGGTGTAAGTAAAAATTAACTTTTATTTGGTGTCACTCTGGGAAGGAATCACTTTAAAAGAGGTATGTTAAAGACGATTAATGGTATTGTAATTATAACTATAGCTCTTACGGACATATTTGAAAGAAAATGACATCTAACCTAACCTAAATATGATATACACCAAAGTGTTATTAGTATTGTTATTTAATAAGTTGTATTTTGTTTATATTTATGTCAAATTTATTAATAATTGAACTTTTAGAATCAGTGATTCCAAAAATGTCGTCACCAATATATTTGCTGATGATCTTCCTGATGTTCCAACTTTTACAAACGAATGATGTAAGCATACTTGATTTTTTCTAACCTCACTTTTTAAAACAAGATAATTGAAGGTCCATGATGTCCCAAATTGTGACCCCTGGGTTTCATGAAAGATGGTCTCGATTAGTTAGTTACTTGACTTGCAATCTGCAGGTCCTAGGTTCGAATCCCGCCATGTACCAATGTGTTTTTCGATTTCCGATTTACATATGTACATATATCCGACATTTTTACGGTAAAGGAAAACATCGTGATATGAGTGGAGTCAACCTACCCGCACTTGGCCAGCGTGGTTGACTATGGCCTAATCACCCTTAACTTAGGGTAGGCTCCGAGCCCCTCGGTGGGGAAGTATAGTGACCTGATGATGAAGATAAAATTAATGTTAAATTATATTTACATTTTTCAGAGTATATCTTTCAATGATGATTTTTTTTTCATAAAGATCTGTTATAAAGGAAGTACAGTATGTCTCCTACATAGTAGACAGATTCCTAAGAAAGTAAGTATGTTTTTTTCAATTATTTTTGACATTTTCTTTTTAATCTTATGACAAGAGAGTAAAATTTTTCTTACGCAAATGTATCTTTTATTAGCTGTCGTCTATGCGCAATAAAAAAAACATAATTAGTAGTCTATGTGTTCTTTCAGACTATGATCTAGCTAGAGATACCTTCAAACATCCATCCATCGAAATTAGCATTTATAATATTAGTAAGATTAAAAAGTTTTCTCTTCACGCGTGTTAATTGAGGTATCATAAAGTTTAAAATAATCTACGAATTATTTCAGCCAGCTCATGTACCAAAGTCTCTGAAACATGTCAAAAACGTCACAAGCACTAATAGAGGTCGTAAAAACAAAATATTTTGGAAACAACGAAGTGTGGTAATTAATTTTATTATATCAAGCAAGCACTGATTTAAATAATCTTCACTTCTAAATCACCTATGACATAAATTATTATTAAAGATAATTCAGTCTTTGCGAATATTTTCGCAAAATTAAAAAAGAACATAATTAGTAGTCTATGTTTTCTACCAGACTATGTTCTACATCTATGCGTCTAGAGATATCTTCTAGCAAACATCCATCTCAACTTTCGCATTTATAATATTTCTTAAGATTTTTTATGAATATTACAGAATCGTAAAGATTATATGGTACAGATAAAAAAGGACTCAGAAAGACCGGATAGAGCTACGGTAAATGATAAACTAAATTATTTAAAATAAATTCCAGCTTGATACCTTTACGCGTTTTTGAGAAAAAGGGTCTTGATAGACGGACGGACGGTCAACAAAGTGATCCTACAAGGGTTCCGTTTTTTACTATTAGGTACGGACCCTAAAAAGATAAATAATCATAATTCAACGGTAATAAAGCCGTTAACTAGTAGAAAGGTTATGTTTTTCGCGGGCATGTAATGACCGTTCCACTGTGAAAGCAGAGAAAAGACACTTTCTCTTTTATTTATCAAAGGAGAAGAGGATTAGAATTAGTCCTCCAGCACTCATGAGGCGAAATGATGAATTACTTCCACTAAAGGCGTGTCTACTGTTTGGTAACCGGCCAAGAAGGGTTTGTCGTGCGACCTCTACTACCTTTACATTTTGAAATTTGTAGTGTCATTCAATGCCACTTTCCAGTGTGTCAGTTGTGTTGACTTTATTTCGGGGACTAGCTAAGTCTTATTGATTCGAATATTTTTTTTTTATTCAACAGTTTTCTCTATTTATTCCCGTAAAGACATAGTTAAGGTAAGTCTAGTATACAAAGTTTTTGTTGATATCGGCTATTGACAATATATTAATATTTTATTTTTAAATAGAACTTGTCAGTGAAGCAAATCGAAAAGATTTAATAAATATTTGAAATTTTCAATTGTATTTTTATTTCATATTATTTTTTTGTTATAAAAAAACTGACGCCCGAAAATCCATCCACGCGGAATCACAAATACTTAATATAGCCTATGTGTTCTTCCAGACTATGTTCTACATCTATGCCAAATTTAATTAAAATCCGTTAAGTCGTTCCGAAGATATCTTCAAACAAATATCCATCCATCTAAACATTCGCATCTTACATCTTTATCTATATAAAAGAAAGTCGTGTTAGTTACACTATTTATAACTCAAGAACGGCTTTACTGATATGCATGAAAATTGGTGAGGAGGTAGCTTAGAGCCAGGAGACGGACATGGGATACTATTTATTCATTTTTTTCGAATTTATGCCTTCAAGAGCTGCTTTTTATTTAACTTACTAATATTATAAATGCTTATGTTTATAATATTAGTATAATTAATAAGTCAGGGTTTTTTTATTAGGAAAATGAAATGAAACATATTAATATAATATTAAATTTATTAAAAATCGTAATTGCAAAAAAGTTTCATTATTTAATAAAATTCATTACGCTACAAAAATACAAAAAAAAGGATAAAAATGTCAGTCTATATCACATAATAAAAAAGCTAAAAAACTACCCGCTATGGAGTTTGGCGGAAAAGTATCTTAATTTAAAGTCCGTAAGGTTTAATATTCAATAATCACTTAGCTAATGTACCAAAATTAAGATAAATTAACTCATCCGATGAAAAAGGTTACATGTCTTATCTTTTAAGAGATGTAACTCTTTTCGTCAGATAGTTCGCAATATATTAAAAACTTTAAATTATAATATCAATAAAGAAGTCACATCAATCGTTATGTCAAAATTGACTTATCAAATTTTAGCGTTGCCATATCTTTGTTTGATTTAAGAACTCAATAGGCGATATATTAAATTAGTTAGCGTTATTAATTAAATTAGGCCTTTGTTGGCAAGTTTGTTTTTATGTTTAATTTAATAGAAATAAGAAGAAAAAATCTTAATTTAAAATATGTTACGCACCTTTACGAAATGATAAATGCAAGAAAAATATAAATAATATTAGTTCAATCGATAAATATAAAAGCTATAAGCCATTTTTTTCCATATTTTTTTATAAATGGCGTAAGTATACGTACACTGACGAAATTAAAAACATTTTCCTATCTTAATAATACCAAATTGACACGATGTTTTAAAAATTCACACATATTTGAAGTTAGCAACGGGAGAAATGTCAAAATTGACATTTCCCCGTTACACGTTCCGTCTCTGTCGCACTTATTACTTATGTATGTATATCTCGTTCTCTCATGAAATGATTTCTGTTGCTAATAACCGTGGATTTTTGACAGAAAATTCTTTATTGAAAATATATCATCATCCCTGTCTTTCATCTTTGACAAGACAGAGATAACAATATGTGTTGAAACAGGGATTTTGGTTTCGGAAACCTACAGCTAATAATATGTTTTATAATTGTTTCGTAACTTATATGCTTTGGGGTTTCCATTGCCGAAACATTGAAGAAAACCTATTTTTCTAGGTGTTTGATATTTTTTGTATCAGTGGAATCCTACGGTATTATTATAAGGGCTTATACTAAATGTCTATCTAATTTAAACTAGTAAGAAAAAAATTCTAACCTAAAAATTGTTGATTCAAAATCAACTAAACTATATTTCGAGTACAACTAGTTATCTAAAAGCTACAGAAATTAATAAGATATTAGAATTCATCATTTCCATACATACATTCATACATACACTTTTCAAAACGAAGGAAAAATTTTGTAAAAAAAAATCGCTTTTTTGTATAAAAATTCGGTAATTTCAAATGAACAATGAAACTGGCTTTTTATATTATATTTTAACATAAGTTATCCATAATGATTGATATGATTCTTTTATATCAATCCATCGAAAAGATTTATAGAAATATTGTTTATATAAATTAAAAGGAAAAAATGTACTTAAGTTACTTTCATATTTTGGTAGTTAATTAAAAAGTTTTGTTTAGTAAATTAATAAAATAAATATGCATAAAATCTCGTCAAGTCGTAAGGAGCGTCGGTGACTCAGGGGTCAAGCACTTGACTTGCAATCTGCAGGTCCTGGGTTCGAATCCCGCCATGTACCAATGTGTTTTTCCGATTTACATATGTACATTTATCCGACGTTCTTACGGTGAAGGAAAACATCGCGATGCTGCACATATCTAAGAAGAAATTCAAAAGATATGTGTGAAGTCAACAAAACCGCACTTGGCCAGCGTGGTTGACTATGGCCTAATCACCCTTAACTTAGGGTAGGCTCCGAGCCCCTCGGTGGGGACTTATAGTGAGCTGATCATGTATTATATAAAATCTCTAAGGTAACAAAAAATCAGTTATTTTTACACATTCATACATCATATTAAAATAATTAAAAAAACTAACCTAAGTTCTAAACATAATTCATGAGATCTTGTGACAATATCGAAAAACGCACTTTAGATTTTGTGATTTAATTTTTAAAATAATATTTTTTAATCTTTTCTGCATCTTAGTTTTTATTTTTTTTTTCAATTAATATTTGGCTGAATGGCATTAAAACCTTTGCCATTTAAGAAAATTAATGTCAAACTGACATGTTTAAAAATGACAACCTTTCTTTTAATAAAAAACACTTACTAAAAATCTTAATTATTCTATTTTAATAAACTATAGAAAACCTGAGACTTGAATAACCTATTTTCTATAGTCAAAACCTAACCTATAAATGCATAATCTGGTATCAATTTAATGTACAAAATACATTTTTTTCCATATTAATTAAAATTGGGAAAATGGCACCAAAATGAGGGTTATTTTAAAGTTATTTCACAACTTTCTTGTGGTAATTTTTAATATGTCACGACAAGCGAAGGAACGATGAGCTGATTTCGCTAAAATGGCGAAATATATATCTGAAATATTTGAATAAGGTTGCAGCTTCGTGGCCTATAATAGACAGGGAAGGGGATATACACAAAAATTTCGTTCCCCATTTACACATTTTCTCTTATGTCAAATTCACTTCTTTATCCTTCCTTTATAAAAGGGTGGACAGGGGAAGAGTACTAGAATTTTGTCTACGGGATTTTATTTTAGGTTATCTTAATGTTTCTTATGATTATATTATTTTCACAACAAGTTGTGAAATTACTTATAAGTTTTAGTATCGAATGCCGACAGAAAGTAAAAAATAATATTTTTAACGTATATTTAACAGTTTATTTACTACAGTGCTCGAGGCAAAGGCAACTGTATTCAGCCTCTAATCGAATAATCGGTCAACTGTTCTTCGATTTTTTTAATCGATTTAATATCGATATTCGATACTGAAACATAAAAATTACACTAAAATTATTCTACAAATTTCGATTGTATCGGGACGTGCAGTTTATAATACCGGACGAAAAGAAAAACTAAATCTAACGCTTAAAAACTAGAATACATCAGTCTTAAATACTAAAAAATCCTATGTACATCAATGGCAGTATCGTTTTAGCTTATGTTTTTCGCTTATATACTAACTTAAAATATCTTATCTCTCTATCCTACACATCTATACGACTATTATACGGTATTCACAAAAAAAAAATTGCCAAATTCTAAATTCAAATTTCCATTTGACACTTGTAGCTGTCATCTGTCACTAGTAATGTCAAAGTGAGTGTCAAACTGACTTGGCATTCGATGTCTTAGAATTAAACCTAATTTAATACTAAATGCAATAAATACGCTGTAAATGCATCAAAATGACTAAATTTCTAAATGCTATAGTCTTCCAATAACTTTATCTTAGTCTATATAGCCTTGAGTATCCAATGAAAAGAAAAACGGCACCAAAAGAATGTTTGGTTATTTTTTTAAATTTCCTTTATCTAGTGGAGCGTTGCTGACAACTTTTATTTGTTAGATTTTTTATTCAACGTCATTTTTCCCGCCTTTTTCTGACATTTGACATTTTTTTACAACATAAAGCACAGACAAAATACATCAAAAGATACAGTCTTAAGCATTTAAAACACTATAAATAGAATAAAAAATAAATAGCATCCAAAATACATGTAAAAACACATTTAGCAATTTTAAAAAATTAAATAAACACCAAAAAAAATCTCAAACATGGCAAAGCTATATACAATAGATAATAAATATCAACCTTCAAAGATCTTCAAAGCAATTAAATTGGCACGTAGGGAACAAGAAAATATCAATATTCAGCGTGCCAACTCAATTGATTCGTTCTAGTAGCAACCATCTGAGTTGGCACGTACGGTATAAGAGTTCACGTAAGCCCCACGTGCCAACTCACTTACTTCTAGAAGTAAAATGACTTCTTTGTTCTTTATTCTTCTACTTCTGTCTGTGAGTGTTGAGATGCGTTCTCTGCGGTTATTTCCTTCAAAATATTACCAACTTCCTCACAAATTTCTGTAAATTGTGGGCGATCGGTGGGCGAATGACTCCAACAGCGTTTCTAAAAAGGTAAAATAATTTTAGAAGTTTCTATAATTCATATCTTAATAATATTATAATTGCGAAAGTTAAAATGGATGGATTGATGGATGGTTTGTTAGAAGGTATCTGAAGAACGGTTGCACGGATCATGCTTAAATTTGGTACAGACGTAGAACATAGTCTGGAAGAACATATAGGCTATTTATTATGTTTTTTTTTTAATTCCGGACGGATGGAATCGCGGGCGACAGCTTTTATTATTATAAAAAAATAAAAAGGTTGATACTAATTTACAATTTTTATTTTACAAGAAGTTTCCATTAAAATAATACATAACAAATAGTATGTATGTAATTAAGGAATCTTGTATGGATGGAGGGATGTTTGTTTGAAAGTACCTCCGGAACAGCTCAACGGATTTTGATGAAATTTGGAATACATATAGAACATAATCTGGAAGAACACATAGACTACTATTTAATTTTTTTTTAATTCC